ACAGACCTTCTAGTGAATTATCAGAAGGAATGCAGCTGCTCTAGGCAAAGTGGGGAAGATACCCTGCCAAGGGACCTGAGGCCTATTTCCACCTGGCAGCCCAGGCACTGAAGGCAAGGAATGGCAGAGAAGACTTGACTCAGGGAGGAAAGTCTCAACCTTCCTGAAAAGGCAGCGACAGTCACATCTAGCAGTGACCTCAGGAATGAGAAGATGCACGACTGTATGCTCAGTTCCAGACTTTGCATCCTACAAAGGGACATAACCTGTAAAAATTAACAGAGGCTGTAGCTGAGGTTATCTGGAATTAAATCTCAAGTAAAATGGCATTGCAGTGGAATGAAACATGGACTAAACCATAGTAAAATACTTGATCTCAAACACTGGCATGAAGAGCAACAAGAGTGAAACTTAACAAAAAGTTATCACAACCAATCAAATCAAATCAAATCAATAAATCAAATCAAATCAAAAGCATTTCTCTGTGGTAATCCAAATGATGATCACACTTAAGTGTATACCTTTCTTCACCTGCTGTTTGGTGAAATCCCTCAGATGGGTTCAAGCACAAGACACAGAAGTATCAGTGCAGTAACAGTCTACGCTTGTCCATGTGAGGGTCTTGAAACACTAGTTCACGTTAAGCATTGTCACGATCAGCTAAGAGTCTTTGTGACAACTAACAACTAATGAACACATCTGTATTCCTCCTCTCTTCTGTTTCGGGGATAATGAGAAGGGGAACAGGATGGCATTAAAAAGGAGATAAACAGCAAGCTGTATACAATTAAGAGAATAAACCTGCCGTCTCTGTAAAATAAAGACAGCTTATAAGCGATTTCTACACACCAGACCAACCGGGAGAGTTACATCACCTCGGAAAACTAATTCATGTTTTGGTCAGAACGCAAACCCAGAGTATCAGCCTAACTGGCCTGCTCATGACCGAGGCAGGCCGTCACGTTTTGCAGCCATTTTTTGAACACGCGGGACGGACGAGTCTTAAGCTAAAGTTTTGCACCGGCTCGCTTCTGCTGCAGCTTCGGGATTTGTGCCCCCTGCGAGAGTTACAGACCCGCCCCGCTTCCTCTCACTGAGAAACCCGACACGCCGCAGCCGGGTCGCGAGCCCCGAGAGGCAGAGGCCTCCGGCTCTCCTGTGAAAAAAA